TGCTCAAATCGACACAACCATTCGGCACAAGTCACATGACCAACACGATGACCACGGCTACCAGTGGAGGTCCCATACCGGTGCCGGGCGTTGGACAGCCGTTGGGCGTCGGTATCAAAGGAAACACAACTTCTTCCAGATATTCGGACGACGAGCTGAAGGGCGGCGGAGTTGGAGTGAAAGGCCCGCCCGGAGCGCCGGTAGATATGGTGGACACTGATATGGGCGACGCGGACAGTAAGACCGGGTACGGGTCGGGCGGGGATCCCGAGGACAACGATATCGCACGTAAGGCGAAGTCCATGTCGGCGATGGCGGTGTCGATGTTTCAGTTTACAAGAGGGGAGGGGGAGCTCAAGACCACCCAGGACCTGTTTACTCAAGCAGAGTTTTTTGCTGATGAGGCCAATAAGCTGTACAAAATTGTCCGCCATTTTACTTATCAGGTAAATGTTTTTGTTAATTATTGAGATAATGTGATTTTTAATGTTTTTGGTATTAGGAACTGTATGTTTGAATAAATAATAATTTAATGTTTTAAAGATTAATTAGTATTATTAATGTTGGCTGATAAAAATCTTCATTTTTGATTATTTTTTACATTGCACAGACATAATATATTTAATGTTCTATAATTATTTTAAAGGTTTATAATAATGTAAGACCTCTATAACAGTATATTAATTTTAGTTAAGAATATATTTATAAATGACCTGAATTATTAATATACTTATATTAGATTTAATATAGATATTCTGTAAATTAGTCATATTTGACATGAGCATAATTAAAGCTTGAAAGCCATTGATTTCAATAAGGATTCTCATGATTATATTGTAAAAGATTTATTGATTTTCGCAAATATACAGAATAAGTGATAAGAATATGAATTACACGAGTATTGCTATTATTATTGAATATTATTAATAGTCAAGTGCTTTGATAAGCAGGCAATATATGTCATGTCATGTGCAAAGTGAAAGGGAACGGCATTTTTATCGGAAAATACATGTTTGGGAGAGACAAGTGCTCTGTATTAAAGTCCCTTTTCGAGTGGACCAGAATATATATAAATCTGATATGAATTCTGGGATAAATGTGTTGCACACAAAACAAGAATATTCTTCAATATCTATAATAATAACACTTTTACTCATAACATATAACTAAACATGAAATTCTTGAGATATACTTTTGCGACAAAATTGATGTTATATTTTGGGAAAATGCATTGCCTATTGAAATGTGTGTTGGTGAATAGGGGGATGGTAGGTTCAGGGCTAGCGATAACCATTAATTTTTTCATCAAAATTTTTTCGTTCACTTATATTCTCTTATTTTCTATATATAACTGATATGACAGACAAAAACTCATTGTTATATTCAATTTAATAGAGTGTCTGACATATACAGCGCTAACACAGAATATTCTGTATATTCGTTTGTATTCTGTGTATGCATTGTGTGTGCATTTCGCAAGGAATTAACGCTTAGTTATAATCCATAATATAAAGTGAGAATTTATTTTGCTGTCAATCATATGTGTGAATACAAGTGCTAAACAATTTTGTCAGTCTATTGTTACCACTTATATAAAGTGTTTAATATTTTAATGGATTCTCACTCTATAGTAAAATTCTGTTAGAGAGAGAGAGAGAGAGAGAGAGAGAGAGAGATTAACTAAATATAAAAATATTGACATTAAACTTAATATACTTATAGCAGATTACTAAAATATTTATATATCTGCACTCTTTTAATAGTTATTATTAACTTTACCAGAATATTCTGTTAGCAGTAATATAAAATATGATTTATATTGAAATTTTTAATTAAATTTCTAATTACGTTATATTACTGACTAAATTTAGTCATGCAATATATTTTAAAATTATGTTTACGTTATTAAGTTATCGTGTTATTAAAGTGTTATTTTGACAGCTTATTTGACAGAAATATATTTATTGCCAAATGTTATCACAACATGATATTTGCATAAATATTGCATATTCTAGTTTATTTATGACATAATCATATAGTGTGCTTGTGCATATAGTGTGCTAGCAAGTTAATGGATTTAATTAATTAAATTTTCAAAGACTATCAATCAGTTTAGTATTTGCATAATTGAGTTCTCTGTTGAAAGCAATACTTATACATTTTTTAGGCAGCAAATAAATAACTATAAGTATAATGCAAAATAAAAACTTAAATTTAAATATAATATTTGAACGAATCTTTTTCTATGGTATGAGATATTATGGGCAATTCATTCAGTACGTACTTACTGAATTGGGAAAAGGGAAATTTCATATGTTTGTGTGAGGGCATTTTATTTATAAATAATTAACAAAAATTAATTCAAGCTGTAAATGTTATGTACAAATTTAAAATTTAGTATATATGCTACAGGCAATGTAAATACTGAAAATTACAATCAAAATGACCTGTTTAATAAAAATTACTTTTGAAATCTATATTAAACATTTTTGATGTTTGTATCTAGATACCGTCGGGTCCGCCCAAAAAGGAGTTGCTGGACAATTTGGATAAAGTGCCCACATTTATACAACAGCTCCAGTTTGCCCACAAGAATGTGACGGTTGGAAAAGCGGCCACTTTTACGAAAGTCGATAACGTTATCACAGAGACCAAGAACCTGATGACCGTTATCGGTCTCGTTGCCACGAACTGTGCCAACTGTGCCAATAAGGTATTGCACCAGGATCATTCACTATTTTTGTAGTTTTTTGTAATGTTGTCTGATACCTGATTATCAATTAATTAGTTTGTGACTAATCAATTAAATTCAAATCAAATACTTACATTTATTAATAATATATTCAATTATAAATTAGTTTGTTTAGTTTATGTTCTTTTAAGCATGGTGCATACGTGTGTTTTTAAAATTTAAATTTTATTCTAGCTAAATCAAAATGCACTTTATCTATTAATACAAAATTTAATAAAATATTTTAGGTATTATGAATTAAATACTTATAATGTTTGTAATAATAGTGATATTACATACAATATTATGAAAACTTCAAAATAATTTTATTTTAATATTAACAGCTAGCCATAATTATAAAAATAATTTTACAGTTTTATGTAACTAGTTTCATAAACTTTAATCTACATAATACTTATTTAACCTACAGTATTTAACTCAATTAACCAAGTAATCTAGCTGATATCCGAAAACTAATATATTTTTTGTATGAAATAGTAATGTCAAAAATACTAAAACATTTTAGAATCAATATTATGTAATTTATTTAATTTAATTTATTTTTAGCTATGAGCAAGTATAAATTTTATGGGAACCTTAACGTTCCAGAAGTTAAAAGGTGAAAGGTTACATTTAATGAATACAAATAATGTGATTAGGAGCTAATGANCCGACATGGACTTCGCCTTACGTGCGATATCGTTGTCCTCGGGATCCCCGCCCGACCCGTACCCGGTCTTACTGTCCGCGTCGCCCATATCAGTGTCCACCATATCTACCGGCGCTCCGGGCGGGCCTTTCACTCCAACTCCGCCGCCCTTCAGCTCGTCGTCCGAATATCTGGAAGAAGTTGTGTTTCCTTTGATACCGACGCCCAACGGCTGTCCAACGCCCGGCACCGGTATGGGACCTCCACTGGTAGCCGTGGTCATCGTGTTGGTCATGTGACTTGTGCCGAATGGTTGTGTCGATTTGAGCATCATCTGGGCACTGGAGCCCGGGTTCATACCCATACCCATAGGGGCACCGGGATTGCCGTACCTCTCACGGGGTAGGTATACCGAGTTCTCCAACTGCGGGCACCCGCGCACGAGTTCGGACACCTCGCGGGCTAACTGGGCTAAGTCGGCGCACAGGAGGTGCCACACGTCGGCGAACACATCCAGGTTCTCCTTAGCTATCTTACTGTTGTTGTGTTGGGCGAGGGTATGACACGCGGCCACCAGCTGTTGGCCGTACACCTCGAGCGACTGCTCCAAGTGTTTGGACGTGATTTGCGTGGTTTCGGTGGTCGACGTGTGGTGTAGGAGCCGACACACCTCCTGCACCCGTTCGCAGTACTCGTTGAACTGTTCGCAGTACTCGTCCAGCCTTTC